ATTTTTCCTTTTTCTCTTGTATTAAAATAGTAATTTCATTTTTTTAATGAAAATAGTAAGTTCTCTAATACTAAAGAAAGAAAAAAATTTGACTCAACGTGCACACAACTAAACGCTCCGTAGCAGTCATGGCGCGAAGGCACGACGTCAACTACCACCGTACGGTAGCAGCTGCCCTCATCCTCCTTCTATAGACCTGCTGAGTCACAACTCACTAGTCCACTCACGAGTCCCGACAATGAGAAGCTCAACTCAGCGACTATTTTATCCTAAACGGCAGGAAGTCACTATCATCACGCCCTTGAAAACTGCGCCCACCTTTTTTCTCGCTCAGTCCACTTCTTCTTACCTAAAAAAACCCGAAATCGCAAAATTACTTCTCCAACTTTCCTTCACCATCAGTTTGCCAATTATTTTCTCAGGAAAATTTTCAGACTCAAAAATTTCCCGAGAAAGCTTCTCTGGAAATGGAATCGTCCGCCCAGCGCCGTCTCCATGCTATTCAATCTCATCTCCTCCCTTCAACTGCTGCCACTGCCGACGATCGCTCCCTTCTCTTCCATAACCTCGCGTCCTCGAACTTCTTTGACGGTACTCTCGTAGTAACTGATTTATCTCATTTCTTTATCTGAATTGTGTTCGCTTTTGAAAATGATTAATTTGATTTGCTTATTGTACAAATTTTGAGTAGGCCAAGGATACAGTTACTACGAGAAATTGCAAACAGGGAAATGGAATGTCTATAGGTGCGGTTGTTGTTTGCTTTCTCTTTTGTAAAATTTTTGTATAATTGAATGTTTATTTCAACGTATCGATGTATTTGCTGTTTGTATGGGTAAATTCTGCTGATCTTTGACGGCAGATCGGGGCGTTCTCCTATGAAGCTTGTTAGTAGGTTTCCTGATCATCCTGAAATTGTGACATTGCATGACAACTTCGTGTGAGAATCTATCTCGTTACGTTCAATCACGTTATTTTCTTTATCTTTTTGCTAACTTGAAGCAGTGATTGTTGGTTGGTTTCAATTTAGTGTGCTTACAAAGTTATTCAATTTTTGCTTAAAAATGTGTGAATGCAAAAATGCTGTTGACACGTATAGAGATCACAAGTATTTGGGTACACGAGTTCAAGTGGATGGAACAGTGGAATTGTGAGTAATAAGTGATAAGATTTGGAATTTGAAAAGCATTTCTTCCTCTCTAGTTTTGGTTTTAGTGCAGGTGCAATCTGTTAGGTTGGTAAACTTCAAATTATTCAAGAATACTCCATTTTGTTGCGCCTTTGGACTTTGTTAGAGAAACATCTGGTTAGATATGTCAGGCATACTGTTCAGGGTTTTGAGAATTGACATCTTACAATAACTGTGATAAATTTAAGACAGGAAAAAGAATATTTTTAAGTTGGCACAAGGAGAGTACATAGCACCCGAGAAGATTGAGAATGTACATGCCAAATGCAAGTTTGTTTCCCCAGTGTTTTATATATGGTAAAGAAATATTTTGTAAATACCTCATTTATACTTAATAGATGATAACTTGCTGACTGTTAATTTGTTTACAGGTGATGGTCTGAACTCCTGTTTAGTAGCTGTAGTAGCAGTGGATCCAGACGTGTTGATAGATTGGGCTACATCTGAGGGTATCCAGGTGCCCATCTCCCTATTGTCTTTTTGATCATTTGACATCATGAAACTCAAAATTTTAAGGAAAATCAGAAATGTTGAACCTGTAGTTGTTTTGCCTTGATAAATACAATTCACTATATCACTCATTTTTATGATCAAGGATTGCTATATAGTTCTGACAGTGTCTGAGTTTTACTAAGTTTCTTCACTTCCACTAAATCCGGGCTTTATTCTCTGAAATTTGAATTATTTAAAAGTGCTAAATCCTTACATAATATTTCACGGTTACATTCATGTGGAATAACAAGTTTAAAGGAAGAGAGGGCATCCTAGGCAGTGAGTAGGCATAGGTGGGCTTACATAATAGGAACCTAAATCCCATGTAGAGGACAAATTCTTATGATGATCTGATTCATTTCAATGCTCTCCTATGAGTATTTCCCTCTCTATGCTCTGTAGTTGTGATTGATGGCCAAAAAACAACTTCATGCTTTTGTTAAATGCATCTGTACAGTATGAGAATTTGGTGTGACTTTGCAATGATCCAAGGGCAAGGAATGCTGTTCTAGCTGACATGGATAACGATGGAAGGGAAGTCCAAGTAATATTAGCAATGAGTATGCTTTTAAGTGCCTCCAACTTGCTGTCATGTCCTTTGATTCATTTGTTTCCCTTATGCTGAGTACTATTTTGCTATTTTTGTAGTTGAGAGAGGCTTTGAATTTGCAAAAGCTTTAACTTTGGTACCGGAACTATTCACTGTGGAGAATGGTCTTCTCACTCCAACGTTCAAGGTAAGCTTCCTTCCTTTTCAAATACAACTTAACAAGCAATAGGTCATAAGGCATTCTTTCTTTTGACCTTTTGTATTATCCTCCAGATCAAGCGGCCTCAAGCCAAGGCATACCTTGCCGAAGCTATAGCCAACATGTGTGCTGAAGTTTCGGCATCAGATCCAACCCCACGGAGAATGTCATGAAGCTTTATTTTGGAAATATTGGAAGTGATGAAGTGGAAAATAGCCAAAATAAAAATACTTAACATTTCAGGAAAAGAAGATTATCCTGGTAGCCAATTGTTGTGATGTCCATGTTAAGAGTCCAGAACCTGGATCATTTCAGAAACAAAAACATTCATTGCTTTGTTGTATATTCAATTTTCTTTTATAATGTACATTATTATTATCTATAATACATGACATTTTAATTTAGATACAAAGGGAACCAAATCTAGTCAATGTTTAAGCCAAAAGATCAGTTTGGTTTAGTTTCCAGATCAAATTAAATTGTGCAAGCTCCTTTTGATTAATTCATGATCAGTTAAGGATGGTAAAAGTGCCAGATCATCACCCTGCTTATCCTGTTTCTGCTAGTTTTAGGTACTTCGTAGATTGCAGCAGTTAATCTATTTTGTAAAGGAATGGTATTTTTGCTTGGTTCTAGAAAGGTTAAATGCTAAATTTGATCCCTCAACTTTATAGAGTTGCACTTTTTTTGATCCCTCAACAATTTTATACACTTTTTTTATCCTTCAACTCTAAGAAATGCATAACGTTGATCCTTTTGTCAATTGGGGCCGTTAAGTCCGCTCATGTGGCATTTTTTTAATTTTTTTTATGACATGTTGATGACATAGAGAAAACAAGTTAAAAAGATATTGATATGGACAAAATATTGTGCCATGTCATATTCTCACAAATCAAACACACTAAAACCTGCAAAGAACTATGAACCCTAGAATGCTCCAGAGCAAAATTTGAGTTCTCTGTCATCGAACCCAGTTATTGGTTTCATTAAAGCCACTGAGTTCATCAAGCCCAATAGATCTCATCAAATCAAATTAACCCTTCAATAAACAATATCAATCAAACTCTAATCCAATTCCAACAAAAATGCAATCAAACTCTAATTCAATTAAAACAAAAATGGTTTACCTATTGGTGGCAACCCACGACACAATAACTTCTGGAAACCAATTGTTGAAAAGTTTAGATCTAAATTGGCAACTTGGAAGGGCAAACTTCTATCATTTGGCGGTCGAATAATGCTACTAATGTCAGTTCTCTCTGCCCTTCCTTTATTTTATTTTTCAATCTTCAAGATCCCAAAAGGCACTCTGAATGAACTAACCAAAATCCAACGAAACTTCTTATGGGGAGGTTCAGATAACTGTAAGAAGATTGCTTGGGTTAACTGGAACTAGGTTTGCCTTGCAAAATCTAAAGGGGGTCTTAGTATTCTAGATTTGGCTAATAGAAACATTGCCCTTTTAGGCAAGTGGTGGAGCAAATTCTAGGACAATTCTAAAAATGAGAAATTATGGAAGAAGATTATTGTAAGCAAATATTACCATGGAGCATCTAATACAGTTATTTCTAACTATGTCTCTTCAAAGATGTCTTTGTTGTGGAAAGACATTCTATCTATTGGCAAGGAAAATGATAGAGCTTTCTTATGTTTCAATGAGGGATTCTCTCGTCAACTTGGTGACGGAGCCGATACTAGTTTTTGGGAAGACATTTGGCTTGGAACTTCTCCACTTAAATCTGAATTCCCCCGGTTGTTTAATCTTGCCAACCACAAGGACTCTTTAGTTGTTGACTTAAAGCCAACCCATAGCAGAAATTGGTGTTTTGAATGGCGTAGGGCCCCTTTTGGAAAAGAATTAAATGAACTTGAAACGCTGGTCAACATCATGAGAAATGTTCACATCCCTACCGACCAACTTGACCATTTTATATGGAGATACTGTGCCTCAGGATACTCAACAAAAAAGGCATACATATTCCTTGATGACTCAAACCCCTGCCTTGATGAGAGCTACTACAAACTAATCTGGAATCAGTATAAAGTCAGTGTTCTTATCTGGCGTCTTCTTCTCAATCGCCTCCCTTGTAAGGAGAATCTTATCCTTCAAGGTGTTGATGATTTGTCTAACACAAATTGTGTTTTTTGTGGTGCCCAAATGGAGGATGTCAATCATCTCTTTGCTAAATGTAAGAAGGTCCAGCTACTATGGAGCAAAATCTGTCTTTGGATGAAAACAACCTTGTTGACCTTGTTCAGTCAAAAACTTTTGAATGGATTAAAGGGATCTCTACCTTTGCTGCATTTTCCTTTGGGGATTGGTGTTAATTTCCAATGCTGTGCTCTAAGGAGCCTTAGCCTTTTCTCTTTTCCCTTCTTTTCTAATCATTTCTATGGAAGAGTACCCTTTGTACTCAATTTTATAATAAAATTTTAATTCATCTAAAAAAAAAAATTCAAATAAAAATGCAATCAAATTGTAAATCAACTCCCAAATTTATCAAGAGCTGAAAATGAAAATCGAAAGAAGAATGAAAAAACATGAATCCAGCGTTGAAACCCAACAAGGCTGGGTTTGCGCGACTAGAAAGATTGGGTTTTGACAAAACCAGCAAGGCTGAGTTTGTCGAAACCTAGCAAATTTGGATTTCATAGAACCTAGCTACCCAACAAAGCTGGGTTCATCGGAACCTAACCGATTTGGGTAGGAAAGAAAGAAAGAGAATGAAAGAAGGGGAAGAAGAGGGATTGGGAGGTGAGGGTAATCATATAATTTTATTTTTTTAATTAAAATATAAATATTTATTTACGTGACATTTTTATTTATCTATATAACATAATTATAATATATATATAATTGTCACTTATCAAAAAAATTAAAAGAAAATGCCAAATGGAATTATTTAATTGTCCCGTCATGCTTAACTGACGGATGGATCAAAATTGTGCAATTTTTAGAATTAAAGGATAAAAAAATGCAAAAAATAATTTAAGGACCAAAAAAATATAAACTTATAAAGTTGAGGAATCAAATTTAGCATTTAACCTTCTAGAAATTGTATACCATATGATGGGTCAGCCAAGTAATTCTCTTTCCAGAAATCAGTTTTTTATTGAATGGTGTTTCTTCTTCCTAATTCTTTGAGAATTTGTGCCAAGCCTTATCTTAATCCCTGTTCACTTCTTTAAGCAATTTCATCGGCGCTTAAAACAAATTAGATATCAATAACATGGTTTTTTTTTATTAATCTTAAAACCAAAAATCAACCATCCCTCAACCCCTAACACCCAACATGCAACTTGCATCATGGCTCAAAGTATCAATCACCATTCACCACTCGTCACTTGTTTTTTTAAAAATTAATGGAAAGCGGGTTTTAAATTAAATTTGAAAAAATTCAAAAATAAATGAATTTTAAATAAATTTAAAAAAAAAGCCTTTAAAATAAAACAAGGGAATTAAAAAAAATAAATTAACTAAAAGGTAAGCAAAAAAATTTAATTTTTTTTAAGCATTAACTCAAAAATTTAAATCGTAAATTTATCTTATAAGATAATACTTATAGATAAATTAAACACTTGGGATCATAATCTTGTGTAATTTAGATGTGTTGTTTCTCAAATACAACAGTGAAAGGAATCTTTCAAAAAGTAGGCAGAAAACAGAGTCCAAAGCTTGTAAGACCCTTTAATTAGAAAATCTCTGTTTACATTCCTTGCACATGAAAAACTTATCTAAGGTCAATCCCCTCAGCAGGGTACTAAAAAAGATTAAATGTACTAAAAATGATTTTAGTACTAAAAATGATTTTAGTACTAAAAAATCTTTTTTATATAATTCATCAGATTAAATGTATTAAAAAAAATTAACTCTTTTTCACTTATTATTAGAACCTATAATATTACGTGCATTTATTTATTTAATAATATGTCAAAATTACTCATAATATTACATATATTTATTTAATAATATGTCAAAGTTACATAAAAAATTATATAAAAGAATTATATGCATATACCATTACCCATTTAGTTTAAAGAAAAAACATTAAAAGATATTAATGCAAACAAAAAAAAATAATAAAGCAAAATAAAAAATAAAAAAACATATTCTTTTTTAAGTTTTTTTCTTGTTTTCAATACAAATCTACATCCACTAATCAAGAGAAGCTTATATTAATAGAAGTTCTTAAGTCTTAACTCTCAAAAATCAATGTCAAAGAATAACTTTCAAATATCAAAATAATATAGTTATAAATATCACATAATATTATAACTTTAAAATTATCAAAAAAATAAAAGGAAAATCAAATAGTTTATGTCAAGGTAATTTTAATTTTAAATATATGAGATATAATATAAATTTTAATTTTATTAAATAGATTTGTTTAATACATGTTCTTAGGGTATAGGTTAAATGTGTAATAAATATTTTTTTTGTAATTAATTTACATTAAAATTTGTAAAAGTTAACATATTTTTTAATATTGTTGATATATGACTCATTTTAATTGATTAACTAATTAAATTAAAATCAATATTTATACTTTTAATAAAAATTAATTATAAAAATATATATTTATTACATTCTTATCATATATTTTTAAAGTATAAGATAAAAATTTTTTTATTAAATTTATCATATTATTATTATTAAATATTTTAATATTTTTAATATTAAAATATTTTAATTTTTTCCTTTTTCTATTTTCTAAAGAATGGAGCATTAAAGAAAGGAAAAATAAAAATTATTAAATAAAAAAAAGATATCAATATTAAAAATCTAACCTTTCTTAAATTTTAATACGTGACTCAAGTGATCGCTATATAAATCTCCACTGACACCATCAGAATTCGATTTCCCACTTCCCATTTCCCATTTCCTTTCTTCAAAAAACTTGAGATTTATCCTCAACCGTGTAGGGGTAAGCATCCTTTTATCAATTTGTGGAAGAGAAGGCTTGATCCGTCTGGGTTCCTCTCTCCATGCCTCCATTCTCAAAAACCACAAATTCCTTCACCC